CCTCCCAGTGACATCTCTTCCAACAAGCCTATCCTTCCTAGCACATCCCAAACATTTCCACCAACTAGGGACCAAGCATTCAAACATATGGTCCTATGGCAGTCGTTCTCATTCAAACCATCACACTCCCCAAATGAGATGAAGATTCTTCCAAGTTCTAGTTGATTGATACATAAAACTTGCTTTGTTGTTGATGATATTGTTTTCTGCCTAGCATTTATAATAATTCCTTAGACTAGTGTTTTGTACTACATATTGCAGGTTTAGTAAGATTTGTTAAATTGAAGCCAACCAGTGTTTGAGGAAACTCATAGTTCTTTGTCTGAGAAATTCATGTACAAAGATTGGAGTAGGCAAAGTTGATGCAGTGCTGTTGGTGGGGTGGAGGATAACTGTCTGGGAAATTTCCCAAAACCTTCAAATGAGGACACTGAAGATTATGGAACTTTTATTTTTAAAATTCAATTTTTTATCAACTGTATCTTAAAATTTTAATGATTTCTGGCTTTTCAATTGGGCTCTTCAGATACACTGTTACTTTCCACTAATTTTAGATACATGGGAAAAACATTGACTTCTCCAGGCCACTTAGGAACTCCCTAGAGTCTGGAACATCCTGAACAATGATAATTTCTTGTAAATTTCTGCAGTTCATGATCTTCTTGACATTAACATATGAAACATTAAAATGTTGCCAGGAAAGCCTTGTCCAAGACTTTAGTGATCTGCAAGCAGGGTAGTTTTCAGCTAAAATTTTGAACTTTCTGTTTTTGCTCCACTAAATAGAATAATGAGCATTCCTTGTTAATCTGCCAACTGTATTCTGCCTGACAATTGTTTAAATTCTTATTTGATGGATAGTGCAAAGATAACACTAACTATTTCTTAAATAAACCATTTGACTTATTCACATCCATACCTCATTTCTTGGGTATAATAATAATTGAACTGCTTTTACACCACTGTTAAGGTTTATAATTTTTGCTTATTGTGTTTTGAATTAAAAATACATTAAACAATTTCAATGTGAATTATATTATCAGGTCATAATTTTATAGAAGAGGTTGAATTATATATATAATTATTTTAAGAATATTTAAATTCTTCCTTTTTCTGTTAAAGGACTTTTTATTTTTCATTGTTTTATTCTTTGGTAGCTTCATACATTATTAATTCACAATGAATTTTAGTCTTTTCCCTCCTCAGTTGCCCTCTCTAATTCACAATTAATTTTAGTCATTTTCTCCTTCCAACACCCTCCCTTTCCAATCCTTTTTCCCAATTCCCTCCCCACTTATTCTCATGTCTTCCTTTTGTGTGAGCTCCACTGGAAGGGCTTGCATGAGTATGACCAGAATGTTACTTACAGGGATGTGAGCAATTTATCAGTACTTACTCTAACTGTAGAAAATTGCACCCTGTCCCTCCAACAGCCATGAAACTGCTAAGACTCCCCATCTTATGGGGGAATGAATGGGGTCTCATGGTCCACTCACCCATGCATGATGAGAGAGACTTTGTATAGGTCTTGTGCAAGTAAACACAAAGTGAGGAGTGAATAAAATGGTTATGTCATGTCAAGAAGATATCTTCTTGTGGCATATCTATCTTCCTGTCCTGTCTCTTATATTTCCATACCCTCTTCCATGAGCCGTGAAGAGGTGATATAAATGTCCCAGGTAGGGTCAAGACTTCACCAATACTCATTCTAAGCACTTTGACCAGTTATGAGTCTCTGCATTAACTTCTGCCCATTGCAAGACTGAAGACAAAAAAAAACCTGATATCTAGATATAAGTGAGTATTTAGAAGGCTTTTTAACAACATTGTCATTTAGCAAAAATTAGTAGGTTCCCAACCAGGGCCAATGGTCTCCACAGTCACCAACCAGCACTTGCCCAGATTTACAGTGCTAGGCATGCCTTCCCTCCTGCAGAGTGAGCCTCAAATCCAATCAGAAAAGAACAGGTTGACTGCCATCACAGTCATGCCGTGGTTGCATCAGAGGTTGTATCTTGTCTAGTAGGTCATTATCATAGTTCATAGGGATCATAGCTGGGAAAGACAGTTGATGACCTCTCTTCCCAGCAACCTGCTTTCTGGCATTATTAAATACATCATACACACACACACACACACACACACACACACACACACACACACACACTAATGTAATTTTAAATGATTTTCTTGTTCCCACTTTTTCTTTTTCTCATTCTTGATATTGCATATCTATTTGTGATTGAAGACACAGATATATCCCCATGGTAAACAGAATGGCACAGTCTTACACCATCAAGCTACAGTTTTTAGTTCCTTTTTGTTCTTGATACAAGCTATACTATTTAATTTCTTTTCATGTGATAACCTTGTGCTCAGGCACAGCACTTTACCATCAACGGTTATCTAGGTGTCCTCTTGAAATTTTTTTAGATGAGTCTTTTCTGTTGCCTGAGCTGGTTTTGAATTTATAATAGTCATATGCATTATCTGCTAAGAGAAACACAAAATTGAGGAAGGTATTTTCCTGGCTTTGAGTATTAAATATAATATTTAAAAACAGTCTCATTTGCCAATTAAACTCTTGCTATATGTCAATTGTAGTGCTAGGTAGAGGCATTGTTCTGTTAACCCTTGCAGCAAGCCTAGCAGAAAGGCTTTGTTTTTTTCCATGCTTTTAACAGTTGGTAACTGAGACACTTAAAGCAATTGGTCCAAGAAGGTAAACATAGTAAATTATATGGCTAGAAGTCAGACCAGTGATTCAGTGTCAAGAAACATGGTGCTTAATGAATGTTATTGCCTCTACTTCCTGCTACAGTTAAAGCTTTCTTTTTTTTTTTCATTTGAATTCAGATATGATGGTCTTAAGAGAAAAAGCAAATAAGAATATAATGCTAGACTGCTTTCCTATCTAATTATGAAGTAACTCAAAATGAATAGTAGCAGATAGTCTCTCTTTTTTTTATAAATTATAAAAATGAAAAAATAAATTCCCCCAGATACAGTTCCAAATCTACTGAACAATTAAAACATTTCATGTAATTGAAATATTAAAAGATACACGAGTAAAATTAAAGATGTCCATATATGTCTCAATTTGAGGTCAATGTACTTTAAAAAAATTTGTGGAAAATATAGTTTATTAAAATTATTCATACGTATATTATTTAGATATATAGATGGATACATAATGGAAATCTTGACTCTGCCTATTAAAATAGTACAATAAAGATAATAAGTAAATTGGTACTTTTAAATGAATTTATTTGAAAAAGAATATCATGAGCTAAATTTGTACCAAATAAGTGAACTAAAAATAAATAATGATATTCTTATTAATAAACACCATCATTCCCTTTATATAGACATTTCCTGGGAAAGGAGGCTGCAGTGTTTTGAATAATTTAATTATTTTTTAAATAATAAAAGTTGAAAGGTAAGGTGAACTAAAAAAAAAAATTCAGTTGCCACCTAATTTAAGTGTGGATTTTTAGATTAATGAATTTGATTATCAATGTTTTATGCCATCTTAGAAACAATTATTTTATTTTACATTTGAGAGTCACTTTTTAATAAAAAATACATATAACTAGAAATTGCAAAGTCTAGAAGAAACAAAACAAGTCATTTGGATATAAGTGTTTAATTTATGACCACTTGCCATTCAATTGTATTGGCCAAAATGTTTCTATCTATCAAATATTTATGCTGAACCACTATTTCTGACAGATATTTTTATGAAGTGACAAGTTTTCAAGTCACAGCTAGTGGTTTATATAAAATACCTATTTTTCAAAAGCTTTGCAAAACTTGCCTGTACCTATCTTTAGAAAGCTCTCAAAGATAGGCTAATAATAATTCTTAAAATTAAGAGTGTTTTAACATAAAGAAAGATCCAATAGCAGGTAAGGAAGAATCCAGCTATTAATAACACAGTAATAATATTTCACTTACATTATACTAAACACAATGTAACAAAACACATATTGTTTCTAATTTTCAAAACAATCATGCAAGAAGGATAGGATTGTTTTTGTCATCTTACAGTAAGAATATTAAAGATGAAGTAATTTGCCCACACTTGCTCAGCTTGTAAGAGTCTCCCTTGCCCCAGGTTTCTAGGCTCCGAGGCCCACATCTGTTCTTTCTTTTTCTTTTATTTCCTTTTATTTTTTTTTTTCTTTTAAATTTCAGCTTGAGGACTCTTGGCAGCTAATCCTTTACTGTCTGTAATAAAATTAAATCGTGTCCATTAGTTTTAACATTAAATGTATTTTATGAGAATAGGTCATTAACATAAAATATTTATGTTGCTTTTCAATTTACCAGAATATTTGAGCACAAGAATCCCTTGAACCTTGACTGTGCCACTTAACTATCTAATTATTTCAATTCCAGGAAGATTGAGCTATTGTAAATAATAATGACTTTCTCTAATATTTCTAGGATTCATCAAAACTCCTGCCACTGCTCAGAAATTAAACTTCTCTCTTGGTTTTCCTAAAAACGCTCAGATTTTCATTAATTAGATTTTATATTATCTTTAGGTTTTCAGTGATGCACAAATGGATTAAAGAGAACGTTTATGGCTACTAGAATTGGTCTGTATAGCTGCAGAGGCAACTTGACCAGACTGTGTTTTCTTTCAAACTTTAATCAGAAATTTAAGAGTTATGCTTCCTAATGTTAAGACAAATGTTTACTTCCCAGATTTTAGCTAAATGCTCTTGCCTACGGCCATTGCTGTTTTGAAACGTTTAATGGCCCTCATTGGGTGTGGTGAAAATGCTGCAATTACTTGGCTAAAAACAAAGGTTTCATATAAATTTAATTTTTGTTTTAGGATAATTACCGTTCACTTTTGTTTTATATGCAACTGAGTTGGGTATTGCAGTACGCCCCGAGGACAATTAAAGCACTGAAATAGGAGCAAGCTAATAATGGCTTTGCGTGGTGATACTGACAGCTTCTGCGTGTTTGTCCATCTGTGTCAACAGTATCGATCAGGATGGGAACCACATAGAGGGGCAGATACTGTTTCCACTAAATCCTCGGACAGTGATGTAAGTGACGTGTCCGCGCTTTCAAGGACTAGTAGCGCTTCTCGTTTCAGTAGCACAAGCTACATGTCCGTCCAGTCAGAGCGGCCAAGAGGAGACAGAAAAATCAGGTAAGGGCGCTTGGCCGAAACCACTCGCGGATCCCAGAGAGAGTTCTTCCTTTGCATAAACATGAAATGTTTGTCTATAATATTGGTATATATTGTAAAAGCAATAGAGTATTCTGTATGTGCCATTTTATCTTATCTTGGTTAATTTTTATGGAACTGATGACAGTTTTGCTTATCAGAATTTTTGAAACAATACCTTTATGCTTGTAACTTAAAACTTAAACTATGACAGTTAACTGAAGGTGTGAATTTAACATTCTGATGATTGGGGAAAACAATTACCTTGGGATTTTTTTTCCTGGTTGAAAATATTTCATTAATTAAAAAACAAACTATTACTTTTTTAATAGGAGGCTTTTCTACCCTCTTGAATTATAAAGACATGGAAACACTGTTCACCATGTCAAGAAAATTTAGTATCCGTTACTTTTGCTTCCAGTTTCCTCTTGTCTTTTTGCTTTGTGGATATTGGATCTCTGTCTAATGGAGAGACTGCAACCCCAGCCTGCTTCCCATGTCATGGTATAACTAAAGATACAATTTTAAAACTCTCATGATTAGGTCTTGCTTACTAGTGCATCCCTGGTATTCAGTGAGAAAATGCAGTCCACGTCTAAACGATTTAAGTTTCCCCTAAGTTATGACTGTTTTCATCGTCTCTCTGTTGCATTTCACTTGCATTCCTCCTGACTTTTCTTTTTTCTCTTTTGTGTTTCTTTGCATGCCTTCCATTTGTGTTTCATTCAAAGGACAAAGGGAGTAGAAGAGGGAGGGCAAGGAGGGGCTAAGCAAGAAGAGACAGTTCAGGAGGAGAAGGAGGTAAAGGAGGAAATGATTAGTGAAGACGGGAGAGGGAAGGAGATAACAGAAACATGCCATGAGGACAGAATCAGAGAACCGGGAGAGGAGGGGAAAGCCCAAGATGCCCCAGAGCATGGGGAAGAGAGAGAACCATGGAGAAAAGATCACTTGCAGAGGAGTCTCTCCCAAGACGATGACGACAGGTAAAGCCGCTTGACTGTGTAGGCACCTCCTTCCCCTCAGTAACATGGCTTCTTTCCGTGTCTCTTATTATTTCATGTTCAAAGTTGCCTCATCTTCTTTTGTTGTCCTGTGTGTGTTAGCTTCTAACACAACCCATTACTGCGCTGGAAATTACCATCAGGTTGGTTTGCAAAATCTGTGATTTATATCCACTAGATCTGAGCGTTTACCAACAAATCCCAGTTTGATTTTATTTTATGTTCTTAGCATGAATTCACAGCACATTTTCCCCAGGTTCCCCCTAAAGATGAGTGAAAGGGGACCGTGCAAGTCCTTTTAACAAGAGTGGTGACTGTTTGGGGAAAACAAGGCAATACCTTAAAATAAGATTCTATGGGGGCCTAAATTTTTAACATAATTTACAAAAAAAAAAATTGCTTAGTAGAAAAAAACAACTTCAAAAATTGGAAAAGGCTTGTTAAGTCCCTATCTCCCTTGAGACTTAGGATTTTCTGGAATGGGATGTGCAGGGCAGTGTGAGGCCTGAGAAGACTTAGAAGCAGGGCAGTGGTCTTCAGATTCTGGTGTTCGTTATTCTGACTGGTTTTGTTGTTTGAAACAGCATCTCACTTGTAGCCCAAGATGGACCTGGACTTGCTATGGTTAGCCCAGGCTAGTCTCAAACTCATATTCCTCCTGCCTTAGACTCACTCCAGGCATGCACCACACTGCCTGGCCCTTGAGTCTCTGGACAGACGTGTTAGACAATGCTTCTCTCACAGTGCACTCAGTTGGAGAGACTGCAAGGTCAGGAACGAGGCACAGGAAGAAACAGTGGTGAAGCTTAAGAGTGACTGCTACCCCTAGCAGAAGCCACCGAGCCTCCCGGCACGTGCAGGGCTCAGAGCAGTCAGCAGAGTGGGGGCACACGGCCCGTCTCAAGATGAAGTGTTTGCTTTAATTACAGCTATTTGAGTATGAAAATTGCCAAGTAATGTCATTTTGAAGCAATCAACTTTTCTAGCAGAATTTCATTTTTATATTACACAAATTTTACTTGAGAAGCAAAACATGTTTATGTGTCGATTTTAAATTATTATATCAAACCCCCATTTCAAAATGAAGAGCAGACAATTGGGATAGGAGTTTTCCCGTTTAGTATACATTCAGTTGTGAATATTTCCTGTCTTCTTTCAGCTGTATCTGTACTCTATTAGGTCTTCATAGCATGTAGTAAACATTTATTATAACTTTAGGTAAGCACATTTTGTGATTTGACTCTAAACCAGGAATTTGAAGTCTGTTTTGTTATATATCTAAGTTGATAATTACACTGAGTTATCATATAATTAAAATAAACACTTCCTGATTTGTGGAAATTTTGATCATGTCAACCAACTCATAGAGGAACTCTTTCTGAGAGATAGTCTACTTTCTTCCAGGAGCACACAGCAAACTGTGAGTCTCATGTGTTTTCTCTGTGCTGTTCAGAGATGACACGAGCCCCTGAGGTTTTCCTAGAGCCAGTTTTTTACTGGTCTACCTGGCGTGGTAGGCAGAAGCTCAGAAGTGTATGATATAAGCTCTCCACTCTTAAATTCTACTGTCGCTATTTTCTTCAGGTCAAAAAGATGAGTATATTCCTAGCGAGATGATTTTCTTGTACTCTGATTACTGTGGATGCTTGTGAACCTGTAAATTTTAAGGGCCAGGCTGACGTTTCTAGGCAACTTAAATTTCTTTAGGTGGAAAAAAGTAACTACTACAATTGTTCATAAGGAAATGTTGGTGTTGCCCATTCATTATAACATAAATTCTTGAATTTGATTTTATTTCTTAGGACCAATCTAGCTATCTTTATTCTGAGGTAAAATATGTGTGGTTATAATCAGCAACTTTGTGTTTTTTACTTGATATTACAATCATAGATTGTTTAAAAACTAATTGTAACTTATATTCTTATGCAACATCATTGGAAACTGTCATATTCTATAAGCCATGGATGTTTTATCTCTTCCATTTTGAATTCAAGTTTTACAAAGAAAAAAGAATTGTCCCTGTTGAGTATTTATAGTGATTCTAGTATTTACCACAATTACCTTAATGAACAAAAACACTTTATGCTATTATTTTTTCAATGATAATACCTTGTTGCAGGATGCATATTTCAGTGCAACACTATATTGTTCATTTGCAGTGAGTCATACTAAAGTAAATTTGCTACATGTTTAAGAAGAAAATGGGTGCCAAAAATAAATTTAAATGGTTCCGTAAATTTAAGATTTTTATATTTTGATTAATGAAAGCATTCATAATTGAGTGTTTATATTTACACAAATATATGTAGATCTGCTAAAATTATCCCATCACCTTAGTGATTACACATGGTATACTGTAGAAGGTACAAGTATACTCTATACATTTTCTGATGATGTTATATAATATAGGAAGAGAGAAATTAGGACTAGATAAGATATTGAGAGATAAAGTGAAATCATTCATTCATCCAGTATTTAGAAAACATCTCATGTACTGAACTCATAAGTGAGACAGAAATGAAATTAAACATTTTTCCACTGGAAGAATAACTGTTTTTTAGTAAAAGAGAAACAAAAACCTAGTCAATATAGCTGCTGGAAAGCACAAGGTTACAGAAAAAGGCATAGATGTTGAAAAACAATGGTTTTTCAAACCCAGCCACATTGATGTATTTGTGTCCAGACTAAACCATCTCCATTCTTCCAGGTCCTTTTCTGGGAACACAAGACAAATATTAAAAATAAGAAACCTGCCCAGCAGAGTGGTGCGTGCCTTTAATAACAGCATGTAGGAGACAGAGGCAAGTGGTTTCCTGTGAGTTTGAGGCCAGCCAGTTCTACATAGCGAGCTCCACAATAGCCTGGGCTACGCAGAGAAACCCTATCTCAAAGAACAAAAACAAACAAAAAAAAAAAAGAAAGAAAGTTTTCATAAGTTTTTATTAGTACTATATCTGTAAATGCTGCACAAATGTACTTTTCCTTTTTGATGAAGATTACTCTTCCAGTAGGAATTTTTTGGAAGAAAACATTGGTATACATTCAAGTTTTCATGATTAGTTGTCTTTATAAGAGAAATTTACACTATTGATTATCGAGGCAGGAGAGCCATTGTTACTTAATACCTTATACAAAGGTATTGCTGATGGGATGCTAAGTTTACATTTTAGTTTATGTTGTAGTTAAAATGTGGAAACATACTTACAGCACTTTAACGGGAAAGTATTATAGAAGGCACAATGTCTCATGCCTGCACTCCCAAAACTTGAGAGGCTGAGGCATCAATATTGCCACAAGTTTGAGACCAGTCTAGAACACAGAGCCAAACCCTTTTTAAGCGAAAAGGAGGAGGAAACGGAAGAGGGGGAAAGGACCAGCAGCAATAGTTCATGCAAAGATAACTGTGATTGGGACTCTGAAATGCATGCCTTCTCATCTTCACTCTGCATGGTCCAGTGCCTGCTTTGGCTGTAGAGTCATTCTTACCTTGTCAGTGATTCGCTGTGTTCCATAGTTTGGATGCATACAGTAGACAGCCACAAGAGAGTTAACATCATTTGTCATTCTGATGATATGACCTTATACTCAGGAACTCAAGAGGTAACTAGTTCCATGGTTAGCCAAGAGCACAATGAACAGTTAAACAGGTTTCTATAAATAGGAAGGTGTTTCCAGAATATATGCATTATTATTTAGTACTTGACTTACTACATTCCTTTTTTTGTTTGTTTTCTGGAAATACCTTTCTGTGCTAAATCATCTCAGAGGACACTGTGGACTATCCCCTTGTATTTAGTTGCACCAATGGCATATTTCATGTGTTTTCTTTAGGTTTTTCTTTCTCAATGAAAGTACAGCTTGCCTATAATAATATAGAATCTTATTCTAACACTGTCTTGTGCTCGTTTATAACGCTTAGCTAAGAAGGAAATAGAAATGATTGGTTGGCTACCACTCCTATAATTGTGATTCTGTATATTTAGGATAGGGCCAGGAATGTCTATATTGAAAAGGTTACCTCAGGAAATGAAGATGCTGACTGTCTAGGACATACTGTATTTTCTAATGAATCTTGAAATTAGCTTGTGAATTTCTGAAGAAGAGAGAAGTTGGATTTTTGATAGAGGTTGAGTTCGGTCAATTTGAAAGTGATTGTCACTTAAAAAAATTTTTTTAATTATTTAAAATATTATTGCTGTGTGTGCCAGTACATGTGAGAGGAAAACTGTGGAGCTGGTTTTCCTTTTCCTCTTCCTCTTCTCCATGCATCCTAGGGACCAAACTCAAGCTATTGGACTTTTACAGCAAGCACCTGTGGATGGAACCATTTCCCAGCATGGAGGATCATTGCTATTTTTAAGATTACATTTTGCAGTTCAAAACATGAGATGTTGTACCATTTACTTTTTTCTTTACTTTTTTGCAATTATATTTGTATTTTTAGTGTAATTTTCAGGCACTTTTTTATTGCTCTTTACATTTTGTTTTTGATACTGTTATGAATAAATGCTAGGATCTATAAGTGCAATTGATTTTTGTTTACTGATTCTTGTATACAGAGTTTTTATGACTGTCTGTATAAGACGTCTTGTCATCTGTGATTAAAGATAATTTTACATCCTCTTTCATAATCTGAAAACTCTGATTTCTTTTATATGATAACTGACCGGACTAGACACCCACTGTAATCTTGAATACAAGTGGCTCATGGAAGTCCTTAAGGCAGCCGTTTAGAATTGTGTTTGCATTAGTGTGAAAGATGTTTGAAGATGCTGGCCCTTAATGATTCTCATCAATTTTAGAAAAAGTTTGTGATCATCTCTCTAAGAATTCATATCTGCTCTGCAGATACGAAAATAGGATGGTCCCTTGTATTTTCTTGTTTCCCTGTTCTATTGCAGAATTTGAGTTAAATGTCAAAAGAATGGCTTGTGGAAGTCTTGAATCTGTGTGAAAGATTTTTGGAGGGGCTGTGTCTTAAT